GAACACGTACAGCAAGAAAAGGCGACGCAGCAAGGCCGTAGGTTACCGTGAGTAGTCGGTAATGCTCCACTGGTGAACCCGCATCCTTCCGCCAAACGATTCGTTGGAATTTAGTATCAGAATCTGATACCATAATGCCGCGAAACATTTTCTCTATGTCAGCTGAGAAAACGTAACGATGCTGACGAAAACGAATACACACGCCAAACAAATCACGCTGAATGGGTGGGCCAATATGCAAACGCTCGTTAAGTGAGTAGCCACCAGAATCTTTGCAGGATCCATCAAATACGACTCGGCATTTCGTGGTTGAGCTGTCTGGTTTGAGAACTGCGTGATGAGCCAGATAAAAACACTCCGATGGATGGCAGTCAACTTCCTGCGGCGTAATACGGGCCATATGGCCAAGCGACAAATACTCACGCATAAAATTTATGTATTGACTCTTCAGAAATGAGTCACGTTTGAAACGGCGTTCCATATATTGTAATCTGGTGACAGCTTGCGAAAGAGTTGATGAAATTGCCGGTGCCTTTTCCTTGAAGGGATATTTGACTACGTAGGTACCGTCAGTACGACGCGTGTGAGTACGAACAAAATGGGCCTCTGCTGGATCTGCCATATTGATCTTTTCTGGTGTAGGTTTGACATCCTCGACTTCCATAAATGACCGAAACAGCGCATCAATGTTAACGGTAGCATGATGAGTTGCAGCAGTTAAGTTAGCTTCGCTTTCGGTAAAATGCGTTCCAGCTACCACCCAACCAAACACGCTATTCAGCAAAATCGGCATGTTAGGCCCGAACTGTTTTTTGCTCGCCAGTGTAAATGCTCCACAACTGATCGGAGCCAATCAATACATCAATTGGTGCTGATTCAGCGAATGTAGGGTCAGCGAGTGGTAGTTTCACAATTGATCGCCACGATGATGAAGAAATATTCACGGTCTGAACAGGAATTTGCGATGTTAACTTGCTGAGAATATAAGCGTGTATATCTAGTGTAGAGTCGTTCAATTTGGAGCTTAAAGTGAAGTACACCCGACCTCGCGTTACTCCGGCATTGCAGGCTGATAGACCAGAAACTGATATACGACCGTTTGTACGTGATAGACCGACACGTTGTACAAAGGCTTCTGACACAAATGATATTGTTGATCCAGAGTCCAGCAATATTCGACAGCTTACCCGATTTCCCCATTTGTCATCGACTGCGGCCACCACCGTTGGGAGAAACGTGTGAGGCATAGCAGCAGTAACGGAGGTTAAAGTGCTGACCGCTGCTTGCTTTAGTGTTGGCGTGTGCATACGCTGCGTAGTGACAGCAGGTACTTGCTCATTTTGATCCCAACTATTTTGTGCTGATGAAGGAAAAGAAGTAGAAGAGGGCGTGAGGGCAGACCGTTCATCATGCAGAAGTGTATGGTGGCGTGAGCTACATTTTTTACAGCTATGCTTCGATTGACAAGAGCGCACGGAATGCGTAGAGGCAAGGCAATTAAAACATAGCTTTTGTTTTTGTACAGCTGCCCGACGTGACGACGGTGATAACTGTTTGAATTGAGCGCATTACCAAAGCGTGTGATTGTCCGTGCAAACGACGCATTGTTTGTTCTTCCTGTCATCAACATTTGCCAACAAAGCGACGCGACGTGTGTGGGCTGAGCGGGGAGGTAAACACGCCTCAAATGTGTCACAGCGATGAGAAAGAAACTCGAGAAACTCGCTAAACCCTTTTTCGCTCTGGTTATCGCATTTGTCTGCCCACTTTTTCCGCGTTTCTTCGTCTAATTTATTAAGCAAGAGTTGAGTTAGCCATGGGTCGCGGGATGTGACATTCAACGCGTCCAGACCTCTGATGGCTTGATCTGCTCCATCAACTATTTGGCGAAGTACCGATGTGTTAGTTGAAGAGAGGGTGGGAAGAGCCAAAAAACGATTGCACCAGTGACCTAATTATGAGCGGTTTGCGGTCGTACCTTTTGACTAAGCGGTCCCATGCCTGCTCATAATTGTCTTCGGTCACACGGATATGTTTTATGCTGGCTAAGGCATCGCCTTCTAGATATGAAACCAAATATTGAAATTTTTGCGTACGGCTCAACCCTGACTTTGTTCCCACTGCGCTAAGAAACAAGTCGCGAAAAGTAATCCAGTCCTCGTATTTCCCGTTGAACTTAGGTAACTGAATTTTCGTTAGGTGAACGTTTTGCTCACTACGGCTAGCCGCAAATGTTTCCAAAAATGATGCTTGCTGTATTGCTAAACGATCAATTGCGTCATCCTCCCTGAATGTAGATGTTTGACTTGAAGAAACTGGCAAGTTAGCAATTGGAGAATGCAGGAGTGCATGTGTTTGAAAATGTTTCTCCTCCGTTTGCTCAATGTCTTCAATAGGGTCGACGAAGTTATCTTCCGCAGAATATGCGTACAATTCTTGACTCATACTCATAAAGTCCTTATAGGCAGCTTCCAATTTTTCAAGCCTATACATAAGAGATTCCCTGGTAGGGGCTTCGGTCGGTTGCTTGGCAGCCTTGTAAGCGCGATCAATCGCCAATTTCACCCAAGCTCGATTCCGCTGCAACAGCTCCATTACACCGTTTAAAATTGGCTGCACGTTAAGTGTTCAACGTAAGATTATCAAATATAGTTAACCGCAAGAGATTCACGAGCACTAATTCGAGGATCCGGCTCGAAGGACCAGCAATTTGTATGGTCCCGAACAAAACCACACAGGGCGCAAATAACTTACGGCGGCGAAACTAGCAAGGCAATGCCCGAAAGAAAAT